TTGGCCTGGTTCTTCACAAATCCAAAAACCAAATTTAGCCCGTTGTTGGGCACTAAGATTTAACCCAAGGGTTTGAGTAGGAACTATGTGCAGCAAATGGTCATAAGGCATTGTGACTATTGTCTTCATTTCTAAAAGACATGGCTTAAGAGTTATTATATTGCTAGAGAGAGGATTTCATTACATTAAAAGTCACTGTAATAAGTGTAAAAAAATGAAAATGAAGAAGTGAACAGATGAAAACTTGAATGTTTTCCTTATCATCTGGTTACATTGCCTTTGTTCATGCTAACTCAGGCTTCTAATTAAATGAATGGTTTTCATTTGTGAAAGCCTGATGAGAAAAAAAATGCTGACAAGGAACATTAAAGAAGAGAGAAATATTAACTGGTACTCTTCTTGTAATTGCCATTTTAATATTCTCAAGATACATTAAAAAGTTCATACAGTAGGTCTTCTCTTCCAGAAGCTCTTCACAGAGATTGTTCTCCATATATATATATATTAAATGCTTCGTTTGTGTAAGAAACGTTAGTTAGCTTCATGAAAATGTTCTAGATAAATAGAACAATAGTCTGTAATTTTCCATCAAATTGTATTTGGTATTAAAATGTAGGTCGTAGGATCTCTCAGAAAATCAGATATATTAATTTTTGAAAAGTTACTATAAACATATGACAGTCAAGCTAGTGATCATCGAGAATGAATGATAGAAGCACTAACTTTTTGTAGTGCTATTCATTCTGTTATCTGGAATTTTTACTTTTGAGAAAATTCCAGCAATTTTAAAATACATTTGTAGGAGACATCCTCTGAGGGTTTCCAACAGAATGGCCTTTAGGTTGCATCAGCTCTTTAGAAATTGTAATTTTATTTTTTTTTCCTAAAGGCTGTTACCTTTTTGTCACACACTGTTATTTCTTTTCTCAAATATTATATTTTGAACCTGAGATAATAGTATTTGACTTGTAAATATCTTGATATTGGTAGTTTATTATTTCTTATATATTTCTTAGATCTCAGATTCTCCAAGGCTTGTATTTTTTTTACTAATATTAAATTATATGGAAGTTGGCTTATTAGACTATGAAAACAACTTTTGTTTTTTAGTTGGGCAATTTAAGTGTGGGAAAACAGATCAGGCTCCATTTGGAAGCTGCTTCCCAGTACTCTTGATTGGTAATTTAGCCACCTCCTTTAGTTTATTGCAAAGTGTGTAGAATTCACATTCCTGCCTCTGCCAGTAGTCTCATTGTTTATTTTCTTATTCATTGCCAAAATAACTGAATCGCCAAACCATTTTGACAACTAAAAATTGTTTTTGAAAACTATGGACAGATTCACTACATTGTGCTAAGCTATTGTTTGCAAGTTAACTTATACAAGCAAAATAATGTCTCATTTGTAGATTTTGTTAGAATTCCTGTATAAATGAAAATTCCCTGTGTCTGTGATTTCACTTTTATCCTTACCAAAAAATTACCATTCATTGTACTTATAAGCCTGAAATATTCACATGATGCTTAGTCTACTTTTTACTTGTTAACCAAATTGTAAAAATGCTATTTGAAGAAGGTTTTTTAAGGCTTAACTTATTTGAGAGGGAGAGGGTTGGGAGAAAACAGAGTTCCTTTCTCCTGGTTCTGTCAACAGATGACTGTGATAGTCAAAGCAGGGCTGGGTGGAGTCAAAGTTAGAAGCTGGAGGGAACACTATCCAGTCACGTACGTGTCAGGAGGCCAGTACCTTGAGCCAGTGCTGCCACATGTCAGAGTCGTCATTAGCAGGCAGCTGGAGTCAGGAGTTGGAGCCAGTACTCAAAGCCCGATATTGCAATATGCAATGCGTTCATCTTAACTGCTAGAATAAATGCTCACATCTAAATGGCAAAAAGAAAGAGAAACAGAGATAGCTCACTGTTGTAATTCTACAATTCTACAAATGCCAGAACTGAGATAGGCTGATAACAGGAGCCCGTCTGTGTCTCCTACATAGGTGTTAAAGACCCAGTTACTTAAACTTGTTGCATCCCAGGGTAGATATAAGTAGGAAGCTGGAGTGAGGAGTTGAAGCCAAAAATCAAACCCAGGTACTGTGATTTAAAAAAAAAAAAAAGCATATGGGATGTAGATATCCCAAACTAAATCTTGACAACGAGGCCAAATGTCTGTCCCTAAAAATGCTATTTTAAAGGACAGCTCAGTGCCTTCGATGGTAGCTTACCTTGCTCACTGGCCAAGGTGACTTGCAGGCAAGGTAGCTGGAGTTTGTATTTTCCTCTGGTAGTTGTCCTGATGTGATTGATGTGATAATTTTGTGTTACACCTCTGCCTAGAATTTTAAACATTACAAGAATACAGGAAAAATGAGATCACATATGTATTGTTTTGGGTTCATTAGTGCTAATGGTAAAATACTTAGCCTTGGTAATAAAATATTTATAGAGTGCATAAAAGCTTTCTTCGATTTAATTTTGTAACTCAGAAATAAACAACATACTTGTGACAGGAAAAGTTGAGGACTATAAGATGCAATGCCAGAATGCTAAGCTTAATTTTATAAATGTAACCCTATATGGTAGACAGATTTGGTGGCATATTCCCGGAAGTGGTAAACCATGTAAATAAGCTGTAACAGAGAAAGAGGAATCTCCTCCAGCACAAGAGAAGCAGGACAGTAGGCAACACAGCGAGGTTTCAAGCTTGGCACCACCTTTGTGTAAGTCAGCGTCTCTGAGCCTGTTCTCCATTTCCAAATAGACAGGAGGCCTCAGGGGGAAATTAACCTGAGACAAATTTTAGACTAAAATTAAGTCTGCCAAGCGATGAATATGTGTGGATGACATAGTTTTACTGGAGTCTGTAAACTTAGTTGTGCATTCCTATAAAAGAGAATACAGTTAGAAAATGTTCATTTTATTACGTTAAATATCTACTTTGTGGAACAGGTGGTTAGCCAAGAGGTTTAGACACCAGTTAAGATGCCTGCACCTTTCGTCACTGTAGTACCTGTGTTCAGCTCCCATTCCGGTCTCTAACTCCAGCTTTCTGCTAATGCAGACCGTGGGTGACAGTGGTAATGGTTCAGGTAACTGGATTCCTGCCACCTATATGGGAGACCTGGGTTGAGTTCCTAGTTCTTGGCTTTTGCCTCAGTTGCAGCTGGCACAGACAGCTGAGGAATAAACTGACAGTTGGAATAACTCTAGATTATTTAAAAAAGATTGATTATGTTGGCTCTAATTTTACCTAAATAAATTTTCTTCTTCTTTTTAAAAAATGCACTGATTTTTATTAGAAAGGCAGATAAACAGAAAAAGAAAAACAGGCAGAACGCGCTCCCATTTGCTGGTTCACTCACCAAGTGGCTGCACCGGCCAGAGCTGAGCTGATCTGAAGCCAGGAGCCAGTAACTTCTTCTGGGTCTCCCACACAGTTGCAGAGTTGCAAGGCTTTGGGCTATCCTCTACTGCTTTCCTAGGCCACAAACAGAGCTGGATGGGAAGTGGAGCAGCCGGGTTATGAATTGGCTCCCATTTGGGATGCCAGGCATGCAAGGCAAGGAATTTGCCACTAGGCTATTGCGCCAGTCCTTTAAGTTTTCTTCTATTACTTAGACAATAAATGAGAATTATAGTGTATTAAGGAATAAAAATTTTTGCCTTGTTGAAACATGATTCAGCTACATGAACCAGCATTATAGAAATTATTAGTTGCTAAGTGAAGTATTTTAATATAAGTTTTAAAATTAGATTAGGTACTGAAGGTAAAGCGGGAGGGATGGATAACTGTCTGATTCTTTGGTGATTATTCTTGGGAGGGTAAATTGTGTCCCACAACTTGTGTTTTTCCATCAAGGTATTTTTCTTTTTCTGTTTATATTCATCTGTTAGACATTTCTGTCACCTTTAGTTAGATCCTATCTGACAGAAAAGCATGCATTTATGCTAAAAAGAAAACCCTGGTAGCTTAGCAGTTATAGTCTTGGCTAAAATGAGAATTAGACGGGGTAGACATTCCTCTGTCCTTTCCTTTTAAAGTGAAATTGCTATAGGGACAGAGATACCTTGGCATTGACAGTATCTCTGGAAGGGTTATTTAATGGGGAATATGAAATTGCATTGGTACTTGTTCTAAAATGGAAAGAATTGGGGTCAGAGTCAGTGTGGTTGCTAATCCTTCGCTTGCAAGTGCCGGTATCCTCTATGGAAGATAATTTGTATACTGTCTGTTCCACTCCCTGCTTGTGTCCTAAAAAAGCAGTGGAGGGTGACCCAAGTCCTTGGCCACCTGCATGCACCCTTTTGGGAAACCAGAAAGAAACTCCTGGTTCCCAGCTTCAGAATAGCTCAGTTCTGGCTGCTTTGTCATTTTGGAGTGAACCAGCAGGTGGAAGATGTCTCTATTGCTCCTTCTCTGTTTCAAAACTTGCCATTCCGAGAAGATACATAAATCTTTGAAAAATTGGAAAAAAGATGTCTTAATTTTTTGTATTGTCTGAAATTGATGAGGGAGGCGGTGTTTTTTTTTTTTGGGGGGGGGGGGGGTGGCATTGTTTGTTTCTATGAAATTGCCAGACTTCTTAAGTTCTCTTACGAAGACTTCCTCAAGGGCTTGGTATGTAAGACATGTTCTTTTAACATCCTTCTAGTTGTTTTAATTTTTTCCCCAGTTCTGCTGGTTAGTAGGGAAACACTAATAGAAATGGCACAAGATGTTCAAATGAGAATTGATCCTTTTACTTTCAGCTGCCCTTCCTAAAGTATTTAACGACTGTCCTAGAAGCACTGATAAGACATATAGACATCACAGCTGGAGTTGAGCTCATATAATTGTGTAGTCCCATGATCAGTTGATCAAGGCCAGAAGATTTGGGGCCAAGTGCCTGAGCCCTTTTCACTTTTCCAGAACACTAGAAACAGATCAGTTGTATCAGTTATAGCTTAACTACTATTTGAATAACTAAATTTTCAGTTGGTGTTTTTGTGTTTTCATCTTAAGATCTTAGCAAAGCGATGTCTCAGGATGGCGCTTCTCAATTCCAAGAAGTCATTCGACAAGAGCTAGAGTTATCAGTGAAGAAGGAACTAGAAAAAATACTTGCCACTGCACCATCACAAGAGCTTGAGGTAGGACTCTATGATGTTTTTTGCTTTGTTCTTCCACATGGTTACCTGCTGTTGATGATGATGGTAGTGGTGATGATGATGGTGCATCCTGAAATAAACAAAAGATGGATGAAAGCATCCAAAACAAAAAAAGAAATAGTTTTGTTGAACTTTTGTCCATTGTAAAATCATTATATCTTTTAACAAATAGTGTAGAAAGTTTTCAAAGTCACCAAAAGAATCTGAACAAAAATTGAACTTCATTTATTCTGTTTTGATATCATTGGATGGAGACATAGATATCAACATTCATTTGGAATTGTGAAAGTTAGTATACCAATTGAATATTCTCCATGCCTTTTCCAAAAAGCCAATTCTAATAGAACCATGATATTTGGACAACTATGATAGAAGTCTAATGGAAGTCTCTCAAAATTGGGAGTTGTTTACGTTTTTAGTTACAAATCAGTAGATTATCCTCTTTCATGTTCTCATTTCAGTATATGCTTAATGTTTTGAGATTAGCCATTAGAGAAAGATACTGAATAAATATATGTGAAGATAAATGTGCACACGCGTGCACACACGCACGACTATAAAGAACCGGTTGAAATTCTCATAACCCAGATAGTGTCGGATTACATGACAGTAGAAGGAAGTGTGGAAGAATTACTTCCTTTCTACCCCATTCTCTAAGAGTGTAAGAATTTATTTTAAAGTTTTTAAATTTAAATGTATAATTTGTACCTGTTTTTGTGAAACACTAAGCTTTATGCTGGTTGTAACAATAATATTTGTTTTCATAGCACACTAAAAAGGATCTTGATGGATTTCGGAAGCTATTTCATAGATTTTTGCAAGAAAAGGGACCTTCTGTGGATTGGGGAAAAATCCAGAGACCTCCAGAAGATTCAGTAAGTGTTAGATATAAGAAAATTTAAGGTAATTTCTGACATCAGTCTAACTTTAGGTATGGGAGTGTGGAGTACTAAGAATGATTAAAGTATAGGAATTGCTTTGCATTCACTGACCTCTCGCACTAAAAGTATGGAAATAGTCTAACCACTTTGCTTCCTTTTAGAGGACCTCATAAGTTAACATTGTGTAAGTGAGGTAATTGTTTTGAAATGTGTGTTTTATACTAAAATGCTCAAAAAAATCTTCATGTTGATTTTTTCCAAACCCTTTGTCTTATTGCTTTAGAGTCATGGGTAGATACTTGGTTAAATCTTAAAGCTCACCTCATGATTTCCTCTTTATGACATTATTTCCCTTGTCTGCCTCATGTGAACAACCCAGCATTCTCTCCACTCCCACTGTATTTCCCTGCTCTGCATTTCTGGGTCTGTTTTTAATAGAATGGCAAAGTTTCCTCACATATTGAAGTTCATTCTTTGAGGCAAATTTGAATGCCTGTATCTGTCATTGTCCTCTAGAAAGCTGCACTGAGAAGGAATATTTTAGAAGTATCAGAGGCTCGAATCTTAGTTTTTCCTGTTATGAATTTTATTGGAAATAAAAGCTCTTTATGTATTTCCCAGGGTTGTTACAAGGTTTCAGTAGGATGACATGTAAAAATATGTTAAACCATGATGGACTTCATAGATCTCAGGTTGTTTCTACTGTCATGAGGCACTTACTTACGTGTGCTGATTATTAGTAGGTGTTTGTCAGTGGACTCTTTATTACTAGATCGTGAATTCAGGGTATCCTGTGTCCTGAGTGAATGTTTGAATGGATAATGTGAAAGAAGCGATTGTCTAAAGAACAGGACTTGTGAATGTGTTGACCTTTGTTTCCCTCCCTGTCAATACACTTGACCTTTGCTACCTGGGGCACTTTTCACTGTAAGGAGAAAAGATATGATAGAGTGGAAAAACTATATTTATTTATCTGTCATGTCTATATACTTATTATTCATTTTACAACATACTACTGCGTTATCTGTGTTTGTAAAAGTGTTACTTGAACATAATTGTACTGATTTGTTATATACCATCAGTGGCAGCTTAAACTAATGGAGTACCTCTTACATTTTTTTCCTAATGTGAAAATCTTACATATAGTTCCCCTGTTAGGTGCACTTTTATTCACATATGTGAAACATTGACTTAGTTTTTAAACTTCAGAAACTTAAAAATTACTCTCACATATTATAAAACGAAAATAAATCTTTCCTCATTATTCACCTTAAGGAGTCTCTCATTTTTTATTCTTAAGCTAAAATTGTTCTTGTCTGTAATGTCTGATAGTTCCAATATGCACACTTTTTTTTTAAAGATCTACATTTTTGGTTCAGTTTTCTTGGCCTAATCAATGAATTGTGATATATTTTTCTGCTTGTGAGTAATATAATTAATCATATTTTTCCCCAACAAACAATAAAAGAACTCTCCTGGGGAAGTGTGTTGGTTTAAAAAAAAGTAGGTATAAATTCAGCCAAATGTTTAAAATGTTGGGAGCAAGCATAAAATAATAGTAACTTTAGATACTGTTTATTCCCCAAATTAAATACTTACGATTTTTCTTAGGAATTATAACTAACTGAACTAACCTCACTTGTCTAATACTTGAAGTGGGGGAGAAAGGAGTTGAGGGATGAAAATCACCTTGGAATTTTTACATTTTAATGCTTACTCTCACTGCTCCCTAACAGGGTTCTGCTAAATCCTTTCAGGAGGTCATATGCATATACTGAGCCATGGTTACTGATCGGAACACAGATTGATGTAGAAGAAAACAAGAGAAATAGAAATTTTGGGTGTAATGTATTTTATGAAGTTTTTTTTTTCCTGTTTATAAAATCTGAATCTTCATTTAAAATGTCTTTTGAAACCTAGTTTTGAGCATGTCTTTTTCCCCTATCGGTTAAAATAGGCAAATAATAAAAATTTTGTGTCTTTATTAAAAGTTTTGGGAATCTATAAGAAATGTACTTGAGATTCCATACATCCACAATTTTTAAAGTTTTGAAATGTAGAGGCAAAAGCTGTTGAAACTTCAGCAATGTCCTAATGTTGATGAAAGCAGTAATCTGTTCTTTTTTTTTTTTTTAAGATTTATTTTTATTATTTTTTCATTGGAAAGGCGGATATACAGAGAGGAGAGACAGAGAGGAAGATCTTCCGTCCGATGATTCACTCCCCAAGTGAGCGCAACGGGCCGATACTATGCCGATCCGAAGCCAGGAGACTTTTCCGGGTCTCCCACATGGGTGCAGGGTCCCAAAGCTTTGGGCCGTCCTCGACTGCTTTCCCAGGCCACAGGCAGGGAGCTGGAAGGGAAGCGGGGCTGCCGGGATTAGAACCGGCGCCCATATGGGATCCCGGGCGTGCAAGGCGAGGACCTTTAACCACTTGCGCCACCGCGCCGGGCCCAGTAATCTGTTCTTATATCTAGTCTTTATAGTACCAATTTTGCAAGTAGTTTTGAGAATATAAATCTTGGTTACTGGGTTACCCCTAGAGTCCCCCTCCTCCCAGGTTTTTCTTCTGAGATATTAGAGATTATATAAAGATCAATTTTCTTACACAATAATATTTGTATTTAGCAAACATGAGCCTTTTTAAAATCCTTTTTTCTTGGGCCCGGCGCGGTGGCACAAGTGGTTAAGGTCCTCGCCTTGCACGCCCGGGATCCCATCTGGGCGCTGGTTCTAATCCCGGCAGCCCCGCTTCCCTTCCAGCTCCCTGCCTGTGGCCCGGGAAAGCAGTTGAGGACGGCCCAAAGCCTTGGGACCCTGCACCCGCGTGGGAGACCCGGAAGAGGCTCCTGGCTTCGGATCGGCATAGCATCGGCCGTTGTGCTCACTTGGGGAGTGAATCATGAGACGGAAGATCTTCTTTTCTGTCTCTCCTCTCTATATATCTGCCTTTCCAATAAAAAAAATAATAAAAATAAATCTTAAAAAAAAAATCCTTTTTTCTTAAAAAAAAAAAAAAAAGATGCAGATTTACCGAGAGAGAAGGTGAGACAGAGAAGTCTTCCATCTGCTGGTTCACTGCACAAATGGCCACAATGGCCAGAGTTATGCTAATTCAAAGCTGACAACCACGAGCTTTAGATCTCCCATGCAGGTGCAGGGCCCAAGGCCTTCAGCCATCCTCCCCTGCTTTGCCAGGCCATGAATGGAGAGCTGAAAAAGAAGTGGAGAGGCCAGAACTGGAACTGGCACCCATGTGGTGTTCCAGTGCTTACAGTTGAAGGATTAGCTTGATACACTACTGTGCTAGCTACAATAGTATATCTTCTAATAAAAATACATTCTTGAGGCAGAATAGTCATTTAGAGTCACGTTTTAATGTCAACCTCCCATCAAAGATATGTACGTAAGTATTGTTGTAATAGGGGAACAGTTTTTGTACACAAGTTGACAAATAACCAGAGTCATTCATCTAGTTTGTAAAATAAAGATTTATTGAAACTAGCCATACTTAATTATTTACATATTTTCTTTAGCTGTTGTCATGCTACAATGGTAGAACTGAATAATGATGGATACTATGGCTTGAAAATTTGTGTGATAATCTGGTTCTTCATGGAAAAATACAGTCAGATCCATTTTACTGCACTTTTTAAAAATGAAAGCCTGCTGTGGTTTTCTTCTTTTGCCTCTCAAAACCTTACCTCAAAAGCTTGTGACAATTCAAAATTTCATTTTTAGGTTAAAATATTTTAAAGTACATATTCCAAAGACAGGAACCAGTTTTTTCTGGGCCTCCCTTGTGGATACAGGTTCCCAAGGCCTTGGACCATCCTCCATTGCTTTCCAAAGCCATGAACAGGGAGCTGGATGGAAAGCGGAGCAGCTTGGTCACAAACTGGCACCTATATGGGATCTTGGCACTTACAGCAAAAGGATTAGCTAACTGAGCCATCGTGCTGGGCCCAAGGACATACTTTTGGATTGATGTCATATTTTCCTAGTATAGCAAGGAAGGATCAACCAGCACATGCAGCTTCAGATGACCATTTTATTGTTGCTACACAGTCTATGAAAATGTCTTGGCCCTGGCCAAGTTTACATTTTGGGGATGAAGAAGAATAGACCAGAAACAGGAAAGGTTAGTTTACTAAAAAGACACCAAGCTGACAGGTTTTTCTGAGTCCTACCTTAAAAAAAAAGATGTTATCACCTCGCTGTTTCTGACCTCTGGTGATGATGCATTTTCATTTCTGTGAAAAATATTCTCTAAAATATATCTCACATTAACTTAAAAATTCTTTGTTTTATTTGAAAAAGAGAGAGAAAGATCTTCCATTTATTGGCTTATTCTCCAAACACCTACAACAGCTAGGGATAAACAGTGCTGCAGCCAGGAGCTCAATCCAGGGTCCCAAGTACTTGAGCCCCCATCTGTCACTTCCTAGAGGATGTGTTAGTATCTTCTAGTGGAGTAGCCACGACTTTGAAAACTGTCATTCAGATAGGAAGCGTGGATAACCCAAGCACAACCTATCCACTCTATTAAATAATTGCCCCAGACTTTTTGTTTCAATAAATTTAAGAGGCATAGAAAGAAAAGAAAGAATAGAACAGGATGGAGAATTGGCATGAAGAAAATACCATACATCAGTGTGAAATTTTAAACAGATTTTTGTTTTGTTTCAAAAAATACCTAAGTTTTCCTTCTATTTTTAGCTCATTAGCACAAAAACATCAAAGTGTATATATATAGTGAAAGGCCTTTTGAAGTTGTATGTGTACAGACTTCAATGCACAGCAATTTTTTTCCTGAAAGAGGAACCATAGTATATTTTGTGTGAAAAGTATTTACATTTTTCTGAAAGACTTACAAGAGGCAATTTGGCCAGAGATCTGATTTGATATGGCACGGGGTGATCTGATATGAGATTTCATAGCTGTGAGCAGCTAATGGAAAAACCATGAGAGACTTGCTTGGTTTGTATGATA